TCTTTGCTAAGATAAGACTACGCGGCACCAACAGCCCAGAAGACGGCCATCTCTAGACTCACCTCTGTGAAAGCCTGAAATACTACATAAATGTTTTTGTTCAACACAAAGCTACAAGATTTGGCTACAACTCATGCTTTTTAGCTCAATTTCATGGGATTAATTGCCATATACACTTTTAAAAGTGCCTCCCTTTAAACCAGATCATGCCTTTATAGATTGATAGTTTGCATCATAGTTTAAAAATATTTTTTAAAGCTGACATACTGCAAGTATATGGAAGTAACGTCTGTTTGTATAGGATGTCATGCTTAATGTCACCAGATAACTTATTTCTGTAGGGTTTCTATATATGAAGGTATTTTGGTAAATTTTCTTTCTGACATACTATTGCTAGTAACGTTGGACTGCACAAGATGCCCACTAAAATGGTATCTTGTCTTAGGTAGATCATAAACTCTCATGAATAGTGAGTATATTTCACGGCTAAAGTTGTGGGATGGGATGACCTTTTCTCTGTGTGTAATCATTGCATCTCGTCGTTTCATAGTCCTAGAGTGACAGTTGCAGAATATCTCCAGTTTTGTTTTCCTTCCTGTTTCTCGTGCGTGAGAAACAGTTTAAAATTTAGCCATGACAGGTCAATACTATAGGAAACAAATGACTGATATTATGTTGGTATTCCAGCTGTGAAACAGGGTCGCCAATTTAATTTTAATATTTAGTACTCATACCTCCTCGCTTATCCTATTGTCTGGATATAAGAACGATATTCAAAATGGCGCTTCTAGAAGTAATCTTTTGACTTGCGGGATGAGGAAGTGGGGAGAAGGAGCCACGGCAATTGCTCTTGAGGTAGTTCAGAATTTGGCGACAGTAGCGCTAGCAGTCAGCTGATAATGTAGAATGTCCAGCCGTCTTCTGGCAGTATTGTAAACTACGTCACAAAGCATATATCCACGATTGACACACATACGCTTTGGTAAGCGCCATTTTGAATTTCGGTCTTGTATCCAGGCAATAGGATATACGAGGAGGTATTCAAACCAAATATTGAAATTAAGTTGGTGACCCTGTTTCACAGCAGGAACACCAACTTAATATCAGTCACTTGTATCCTACAGTATTGCGAACTACAAAGCGCCATTTTGAATTTCGGTTTCGTATCCAGGCAATAGGATAAGCGAGGTAGTAGAAACAAATATTGAAATTAAGTTGGTGACCCTGTTTTACAGCAGAAATACCAACATAATCCCAGTTGATATTGCTTCCCTCTGGTGGCTGTGTGTAGAACTGCACTGAACGGTGTTGTCTGCTGCTGGCCGGAACAGTATCTATGGCGAGTAGCAACCAACATTAACGAACTGTGCGAAGACGCCATTTTAAAATCCGGGCTTGTATCCAGGTTATAGGATATGCGAGAAGGTAAGACTTTCAAATTATGATAATGAGTTCGTATCACTACTCTACATCTGTTTTTGCATACAGATTGTAGGCATCAGCAAAACTCTTAGAAGTGCCACTGCTCAGTATATATTCTGTATGCCCCCCCTTCTACTATGATATTAGAATAGGTCTATAGTCAGAATTAGTCATTAGTCATACTGACTGTTCTGACTTCCATTTCTGCATACTGAATTGAACTTTCTGTCTTTGATATGGTCTTCTTTGTCTCTTTTGCTATGTAACAAAATTTCTGTGGATCAGAGTTTTTTTAATAAGTTGATAGTTGCTCAGCTAGTCAGTGTTATTTATTTAGTATAAGGAACACATAAAGTTCCTGTACACAAAATAATTCCTTCCCCAGAAAGGAATTAATTTAATCAAGTCAGAACAAGTTCTCTAAACGTTCCTACCATATCAGAAATGTATTTCAAACTTTTTTATACACTCGGTGGCTACACAGAAATAAATGCCTTACTAACGAAATTACTGTTAAACGCTGTCTAGTGTCTGGTCAATACGTCTCTGTCGTTTGTTGCTGCATTCTTTCTCGGCACGTGTATATTTTGCCCCCATTTTCATGCATTTCTCTTCTTACGTGTGTACCTCGAACATAAAGTGTGTACTAACTGTTGTGTTGTTAATATGCGTTTGCAATTAAGTACGAACCAACCATTTGTATTAGATCCGTTACAGAGAGAACAAAAAATTGCTGCCTAATACATACAATAAATTAACCGCCTCTGTCTCTCGCTTTCTCTACAAAATCTTCTAGAATAGGGAAGGATCAACAGCGCTTATAACAAAATCCGCTACTGGGCTCGATTCTGGGCTAGATGAATCCAATTTATCCATTAAGAGCCTATTTCCATATGATCGATTCTATTATTGTCTTATTCTCGGTATTCGAAATTACACTTTGCCAGGTTTCCAGTGAACTGTTATGCATTTGGAGTGTAATTAAGACTATGATGATTATTATTATTATTTAGTGTCCTGTCTGACGACAGGACCATATGAACAGGATCCTTCCATCCTTTTCTCGGACTGGGACCTGTTCATATACGTTCTTGGCAGATGATCCAGAAGTGGTTTGCAATTGCCTTCTTCTGTGTGTGAATGGAGTAATTGTTGGGATGCCACGGAGAAACCGGGGAAGCCCCCGGAGGAAAACTCCGTGTTGCCTAGACCACGGCCTTGCCCAACACAAGTTATAAATTCGGGCACCGCCGGGAATCGAACCCGAGACCCCAGGATTACAAGGCCAGCGTTCTAACCGCTAGACCACCGTGGCGGTAAGACTATGATATTAGTGTGTAAAAGAGTGTCGTCTGCATTTGAATTAGAAGACTGACGGACAAAAGCGTGCACCTAAATTTGTAAGAAGAACGTGGCACGTACTGGAGACAAGTTGGTGTCTCGATTGAGGAACTTAATTTCCGCGAATTGTTTTATTGACCTGTTTCTGGGCTACAGATCTGCGTCTTCAGACAGAAATCGTTCCAAATTCGGAACCTGTTTGGATGAAGCTACATACATATCAGGATCTGCATTCATCCGTCAAGAGATGTATGTAAATAACTGACCGAATTGACTGGCCTTCTTTTGTAATCAACATTATTCGCAAAGGAAACAAATAATTATAAAAGAAGACCGCTTACTTCGTCAGTACGATCTGCTTTTTACGCCACCTGTTTCCGTTATTACTTATTTATAGATATTTAACGACGCCGTGATTAACTCAGGTCATAAAACGTGAACGGTATGATGATTAAAAATGATGGTATTGAAAAGGATGTGAAAAAGGTGATGATTATCTAAAATTTAAGGTAGTAACCCGTAATTTCTCTGGACAGACAGAGAAATCACGAAACACTCTGTTGAGATATTCGGTCTGCAGACCGAGATTTGAACTAAGGACTCCCGAATGCGAAGCAGAGTGATGATGATGATGATAATAATAATCTTAGTGACAATCTCATGAGATTTTCTTTCTTTCCATCTTTATATAAACCACCTTTATTCCAAGAAGAGCCAAGTGCCGGCTCAGAGTCGAAGCCCCCAACTTGGGACTCAGGTCAGGGCTATCGGATACCTCGTGGGGAAGTGATAGGTGAATTTGGAGCAGTAGTGGAATGACGTTTAGCAGATGAAAACCGACGAACTCAGAGAAAATCCTGTTTCAGCTCCACTTCGTTCAGCACGAATCTCATTTGAGGTCACCAGGGATTGAACCCGGTTCTCCGCGAGTCAGCACATGGCATGACCATAGGCGTATGTCATGTCCACTGGCATTGATTTATTTTACGCTCTTTCGGCTTTAATGACAGGAAATAATCACTTTCGGCACGCCAGGTGTAGATCATAATTCGAAGACCATGGCTGAACATCTGTGGAGTTTGGCCGGAGGGGCTCTCGCTGCAACACGCTGGCTGCTTGTCTCTCATTGCTTGCCTCTGGAGAGGGGCTGCCTCCTTCAGTTCTAGAGGTCTCTAAATGAACCTTCGGAAAACAGAAATGACTCAGCAGTGGTAGTTGCACCAGCATGGCAGTGTAGATGGAATGTTCTCACAGTTGTAATCAATCGATATCCAAAATCGAACACTCCTGCTTTCTTAGTTCGTGGACTGACATATTCATCGGCCCTCCACTTAAATTCTGGGACTTTCTATAATAAATTCTTCTCGGGCTACCAGCCGTGTACGGTGGCTTAATGAAGAAAATGCCAACGTTTCGAGAACCATCTTCGTCCTCGTACTCAGGGTGTTCGGACCGTCGCAAGGCCTGTACTTGCACAGGATAACACAATGCAGGAAATGAAGATGACTTTGCAATATAAATTTCAAGCATGACAAATTATTAGCGGACTAATCGCTGTTTATTCCGAGGATCATATGAAACCCGTCAGTACACGGTGTGGACAAAATGCAGAGTTGCTGGATGTTGGACCAGGTGGTACATTTAGTCACTACTAATGCTTTAAAACACCACGGTGGTCTAGCGGTTAGAACGCTGGCCTTGTAATCCTGGGGTCCCGGGTTCGATTCCCGGCGGTGCCCGAATTTATAACTTGTGTTGGGCAAGGCCGTGGTCTAGGCAACACGGAGTTTTCCTCCGTGGCATCCCAACAATTACTCCATTCACACACAGAAGAAGGCAATGGCAAACCACTTCTGGATCATCTGCCAAGAACGTATATGAACAGGTCCCAGTCCGAGAAAAGGATGGAAGGATCCTGTTCATATGGACCTGTCGTCAGACAGAACACTAAATAAAATAAATGCTTTAAAGGCAGAGGATGGCAGAAGATAGATCAGAATGGAAGAAACTCGTTAAGGAGGCCAAGGCCCTGTAAAAGGGCCGTAGTGTTACGAAGTAGTTGTAATGCTTTAAAGCCGTGTTTTTAAACCAGGGGTCAGCGGAGCCCTGGGTGTTGGCAAGTTGTGCCAAAGGTGGCCACGAGTTAAGTAAATTCTACTATTTTTTCGAGTTTTATCACTATGTTAGTTTCATGGCAGGCTTTGGTGTTGTCGGTGTTGGACCTGCAGGTTATGCTACCAGGGATTTGAGGTTCTCACGGCGGCGAGTATGTCCAGACTACACGGCGCAACAACCCAGGGAGTTTATATTACGGAGTTTCAAGTATCAGAGGACAGAAAATAAGGAAAAAACTTTCATATTTTCGTTAGCCTACATAATATTTAATCAAAATCTGAGTACATTTTTGGAAGGGGTTACGCGGTACAGAAAGTTCGAGAAACGCCGTTCTAAAGGGTTGAGGCTGAAATGTAATCCTTCTGTACTCGAAAAAGAAATTGACGTTTCGTAACTAATGGCTGATGGCCACCGGTCCCACGTTGTAATCTTAAGAACCAGGCCACCTAACCATAAAGCAAGGTCAAACCGCAGAATAAAGAGGACAGACGTGTATTACGCATAATGACTCCTGCGGTGTTCTTATGTGTGTGTTTCCCGAATGTTTCTCACTTCTTTACACGCAAAACAAAAGGTTCGTAGCCTACTTTAGCCTCGTGATGTTTTCACTGTAAATTTCGTAGGAAACTTTACGTGTTTGTGATTACAACTTGTGTTCTCCTTTGCTGGAGGCCTAAACATGTTCTTTTTAATAACAATACCGCCAAGACGGTCTTAGAAATCTTTTAAGCGAGAGCGACATTGTAGCTGTTTAGTAATAAGGCTTCCAGAAGAGACCATCATGCAGGAACAAGACAACAAATGTACGTTCGAAATTGGCCGTGTATTCATTTTTTCCTTTGGTGCCTAATTGATTATCCATTGAACTAGGCTTGTACAGTCTGATTGATTGTAGATAATAAACATAATTACAAAATTTATATAAAATATTTTCTGTGTGCATTGTCGGTACGAAATTTTGAGATTATTTCGGGCAACATTCTGATGGTGGAATCTGTAGACTTATAAGAATTATGTACTGTAATAAATCACTAAAAATAAAATTCCTTATCCAGGGTCCATTTAAACGCTAGGTAAGAAGTGAGGCACCCAGTCAACAACTTGAGACGTGTTTGACATGGAAGCCGAAGTACTCTGAGGATAATCTTAGCCGGTGCCACTTCGTCGCCTACAAATCCCACCTGCCCTGGGACGCCGAACCCGTGGCTATGCGCCGATAACCGCTTAAGCTGTGACATGGCCAAGGTAGGGTACTAAATTATATAGCCTATTTATTTGTTAATATGTACTTTCTGCATCCTAATTATACAGATGAAAAAATGTAAAGAGAATTGGGTTTTATGTGTTTTCCCAGACCTCGTTTGTTGTTGTCTCACGCACGTTACTGGCCTCAAATCAAGTATCCCATTCATTATTAGCTACTTCGGTGGTCTAAAAGTTTCTTTTTTTTATTATTATGTCAGATTTTACCACAGAAGTTGTTAGACTTTGTACTGCATGTAAATAATTAGCCAGCTATAACGGAAGAACGAGATGACTTCGAAACATCCGAACGCATTCGGGGTCCATTATTTTGGCGTGTGCTTTTAGCCAGCGTATCTGCGTGAAAGGATATGGAACAAATACACGACTCGGAAAGTTATTTTGGAACTTTCTCACATTGACGAAGGATTTCACCATTTAATTCTAATATATGTGATAGCTTGTTTTCGTGTTTTTCGAAAAAAAAAACATACAAACAAAAGATTCGACATTAAGTCTACATGTAGGATCAGAATTCTCTGATCGATTCTGATCAAATTTGGTGTGGCGTACCTGATCTTCGTTTTGACTTTGTGTCACTTTAGGTGTCACTTAACTTAAGGGACTATTAATAATGAACCTAATCTACCTTTATCATTTGGGTAATTAGACGGATTTTAACAGTTCTGTTAGACGAATAATGTCATGTATAACTTTCATGAACATAAATTTGTTTAAGGGCCACTCTACTTTATTTAATGGGCCTAATTGAGCATTTGCAAGTATCCATTTATCTTTCGATAAGTTTTGATAAAACTATGTTTAAGCTACATGTAGTATATTAGTATTAACATGCATGAGTTTCATTTTAATTTGTTTTAAGATTCGCGTTATTTAAGGGCCTAAATACATGTTTCAGCAACGGAAGTAAAAAGCCTTCAGTACAATTATAGGCAGTCTACGAATATATTCCCCTTTTGCATTGAGAGACCAGCTGTCTCACGCACATTAAACAACAGGTAGGGTATTGTATATTTTAATAAGTAGGATTGCTTTATTTTATTTATTTAACGTACTAAAAGGAAATTAATATGGCTGATTTTATTCATTACAACTAAAATTTTCCCTTAAAGCACGTGGTAAGCGGTATGTACCGCCCACTTTAAAATTCAGTAATTTGTTCAGAGAGTGTGTGGGCTTTGTCTGATTCTCCGGATAAACACCTATTATTTCCGTAAACAGAAAAAGGTTGATCTTTGTAATGGAAACGCGTTGTGTTTTCTTTGAGGAAGGAACTGAATTTCTAAATATTGTTTTGTTGAGCTTCGTACTTCAGAGTTAAGTAACACGAAACTCCATTCAGTTAGAGAAGATTATTTCACTCCTACTGTCGGAATGGGATAATAAATGATGTAGGCACTTGAAACTGTTGTTTGCGAACGCACCTGGAAGATACACAAATTTTGTGGCCGATATACTCGCACGAAAAGCAGATGCTTTCGTATGGGCACTTACATTTCCGAACCAAATTGTGAGTGCAAGGAAGGGCACTGTCGAACCTTCACTGCCTGAGTTGGCGCTATAATTAAAATCGAGATGTAAGTAGAAAATAAATATAATTTTCTCTAAAAACAAAATTTATGCCACAAGTGGGGAATGTGTACTGCCGTCTTCAGCGTAGAATGCAACTCTCAGTCTAAATACTTCGAGATACGAAGATGGTTGTCTTCCGGGTTATAACACCGTGTAGTGTTGTAGAATTTACTGACGTTTTCCTTGTGTTCTGTTTGATCTTAACGTAAAATATTGGACATTTTGGATTCTTAAGAACCAAAATTGAGTTTTCTTAGTACAGAACATTTATTGTGTGGTTTCGGTGATGAATCATACAAGCATACAGAGAGTCGTTCGGATTGATATCACTTTTCTATTGTGCGTTTATTTTATACGTTTTGTACAAATACCGAATAATGAGGAATCACAAGACCGGAACGATAATTAATGCTACCTTGAAATGTGGTTAGGCTACTTCTGACTTGCTTAGGTTGTCGGTGGCGGTAAGCGGATTGCTTTTTAGTTGTTTTAATGCTGTACCCTCGCAACCTTGCTTCTGTTGTGGACTTCTTATTAACTGCTAAAAGGACTTCTTTATTTTTACATGAATATTTGGATTTAGTTGTAATGGTATTCGTATTATTTTTATTTTACGATAAAACGTTGCCATGTTTGCTAACTGCTTGGAGGTAACTGACTTTCGAAATGTCGGTTATCATCATTTTAGCAATGGAAAATAAATTACAGAGCGAAAAATGAATTGGTTCCGTTCTGGACGGCTGGTGTTCGATCCCTCGCGTGCATATTTGGGTATTTTCTTTGTCAGTAATTCATCTTGAGGGCCACTTGCCTTCTTATGCAGTTCGTACTAAAGGCATTTCTAACTTGGACACTCGCCTCCTAATGTAATGTTTCTAGGTGCAGCTCGTAGCAGAGCAGGCTTTTCTTGAACCATTGAGGTTTATTCACGTGCTAAACATAATCCTGCTTTCGTCATATTCATGAGCTTAACAGTGAGCCTTATCCCAAGTAAATTTGGTCTAGTTTTCTTCACAATCTTTTTCTAATATAAATTTGAATATCGTCCCATCTAATCCTAAATGTCTCATGTGATCTCTTCTCTTTTGGATTTCCTGCCAAAATTTCGTATCACTTTCTTGTTTGCCACACGAATGTTACTTTTTTCGTTTATCTTCCTTTTTGATTTAATCACCCTAATCATATTATATGAAGAATGTAAATCGCGAAGCACGTGATTCTGTAATTTACTCCGTTCCGATGGCATTTCGTATATATTTTGTCCAAATATTGTCCCCAGGACTTTTTCAGACAACCTGAATTTTTTTTCTCTGTGACCGGGAGCCCGCTTATAACGACGGAAGTAAAATGGTACAAATCTACGTGTTTTCGAGTGACTACTGAAATAAATCATTTCAGATCTTTGTCACTTTAACCTCAATGCCACTTTATGTTACTCTGAGTTGCATTAACAGATATATCAATTGTGCCTTCAATACCCATTTACTGTCAAGTACCGCTTCTTGCTTTTGAATGGTAACCATGACAAACCACAGTCTAGTGTGTGACGTCATCTTTTGTCGAAAGGATTCATTTATAGGTCAGTCGATCATAAGAGTAATTCTGTCGTTGCATTTCCAAGTAGAATATAAATGCAATTGGAAGATTTATTGAGTGTATCTGAAAGACTGTTCCACTAAGTCCAGGTGCCTTCATTTCCAAGCAAGTAGGTTGTATTATACAACTGGTTCGCACCTCCTGCATTCTGTAATGATGTATAATGTGTCAGTCCTACGTAGGCCTACTTTCTTTCTTGACATCGCTTATTTTAAACCGAATTTCTCGATGCAATTAACAGTACTCCTCTAGGTACTTTGCAGTAGCCTAGTTCTTATCTCGATTATGACACACTCTATTTTGACTTAATCGTGGTTTTAATCAGCATCTTCAATAAAATACAGGTTTAGTTAGTGTTCTATAACAGTGGTATTCAACCTTTTTTGTTCGCGTACCCCCAGATATAATTTCTTTTCAACTTTGAAGCCCGAAAGTTGTTGATGTATAATTCAAGTTATACATAGTATATAATTTACATCTAAAATAAATTAAATAAATTACCTTACTGATTATTCAGTGTTTATCATAATTTTTTTTTAAATTTCACGTACCCCCTCAAATGTCTTCGCATACCCCCGGGGTTACGCGTACCCTCGGTTGAATACCACTGTTCTAGAACACAGAATTCCCTTTCCATTCTTAATTGTGTGATTTCTCATAATGCTGTGTGCCTCAGTAGTTGAAACATTGTTGTTAAATAAACATATAAACAAGAAACCGCATGTATTGCATTGGGACTCAGGTTTAGTTCATATTCATTTAGCTGGAAATGAAGTAGGGTCTTTTGGGGAATGGAGACAAAGTCGTCTGTTGTATCTCTGAATAATATGACGAGCAGTTTTTATATTTAACCAGAAGAACGAACATTTGGCGTGTTTAGTTTTCGCATAACATCTTCATGATCTGGATTGCAGAGTTTTTGGACTTTGTCCATCGTCTGGTATTCTAAAAAAAAAACAATTTTCGAAAACCGAATCAGTCTTCGTCATCAGCTCTTTTTTAGAATACCACACGATGGACAAAGTCCAAAAACCCACTAATCGAGACTGCAACACGCCATCTTTAGAATCGATTTTTCTTCCTGATATCTCGATATATGTAAGACGTTTGAAATCGAGCACGGAGACTGTCTGAGCTTCGTCAACGCTTTCTGTGAGGCGATGTATGCTGGTCTTGTGTATTTCGTAATGACTTTGAAATGGAATAGCTATTTTCAGTCGTCTATCCGTATTTAACAATGAAGAAGAGGCCTATATAGTCTCACGTTTGTATGGCTACGTGCTTGGCAGCTGCACCTTTTATGCCGGAGATGACCTTCGAAAGCTTACCATTGTTATATACCTATATAGAGACATGCTTAGTCCAGATCTTTTCTTTAGCTTTGAATATGCACGATTTTTGTAACTGGAAAAGTAACACACTAATTGTACATAGTTTAAATTTTTTGTTGAATAATCTGATCTTTTCCACAGTCTGTTGACTTTTGATGTAGTGTAAAATTAAATTGTTACTGCAGACAATTATGCATGAGTGAACTATCTGTAGCATGTGGTTTACATTTCGTTCCACAAGGTTGGCTCCTTTGTATTTAGTTGATTCAAAAGGTAAGGTTTTCAAAACGAAACTGATTGGTTATTTTGACACTCTGTATGCAAAGACCCGTATAAGCATGTATGCCACTACAGTTACATTTTTCTCGGCATCAAGCAATTAATTCTTCTATGAACGACATTTAAAAGTCCAAAAATAATTGAAAAGCGTACTAAGATGTATAGATTCGTAGTTTGTGCTCGTGGTTTCTGTAACTTCGGAATTGTCCCAGAAAGTCGAAGTTATTCATCCGGAGGTTAAATATTCATCATCACGTGTACTACAACCCAGACCGGGTCTTGGCTTCCGCGGAATTTAAATAGTATCGGCAGAATTACGACAGAGTGATTTTGGGAGGGATTTGGGAGGAGCCGGTCGTGGACTATTTAAAGGTCTTTTTATTTGAATCCGTCTGGAGGGAATTATATGTGTCGTTATTCAGACCTCGACCAGCTGGCTTGGCTAAATTTATTTCGTGGTTTTATTCAGGTTGTTTACTCCGAGTACCACAATATCTGGATTCATTTTCATCAGACTCTGCATCACTAGTATAATCGATATTGTTCAAAAGTAACCATAGAAACTTATGGCTCGTATTGTAAACTTATGAGGTACCTGAGGTTATGAAATATTTAAAAGTGATGTGTTTTTTGTTCATTGATTTATATCGGTTTTGCTGTTAATGGTGGGTCCTTTAGCGCCTGAAAACGTTTGCTTATAGTACACACAACACACAGGTGCCTGAGAAGTTGCCGTATCGTTATAGTACGTATCTTCATCTTGAAGATAACTTTCTTGTGGAACCTTGCAATCGCGTAGAAATTGGCCGACGTTTCCAAGGTGCTTCCTACCTCCATTATCAGATCGATGCTGGGGGAAATAAGGTGCACTGAAACGTTGGCCAATGTCTACCAGAATTCACGGCACAGAAGATAAGCATCTTCATAAAAATAATAAACTTTACACCTCTTGAGGTACATAGGCCTGTTATGATTTTAATCGTTTCTCTTGTAGCTCTGGATGATTGAATTAACTGCGCCGAGATCTTATTTATTCACACGTCTCCGAGTTCTTTCTTCGCAGTTAAATGTAGGTCTTTGTATTTTGATCAAGTTGAAGTGAGTGCTATGGAGTGTTCTCTTCCGCCTACAATATTCAGTCCACGTCCTTATCATCATAATACAGAGCGAGTCGTATTAGATGCGTCTCCGATCGTAAATATGCGTCCATGTTCCCAGACTCACAGCTTCCGAGCGCCACGCTTCTAATGATCTTCTAAAGTATTCTGAAGATGGTTAATTTATTATATGAATATTATATTGAGCATTGTCAATCTTGTATAAGAACTAACTCGACTCACAAGCTTAAATTTTATGTGAGTAAATTTTCTCTTTATGAAATTTGAGGTTCTCATGGCAGTGATGATGTCCATATTGGTCTTCTGTGTTATAATGACTTGTGGAATTGTGGATAGTGTCCGACGTTTCGAAAGAACATACTGCCTCGAAATTCAGGGCTGAAGATGTAGACAGTAGTTCCTCCGAAACGTTGATATCTACTTACAAGTCCACGCGGTGTTTCAACTCAGAATACCAACATCGACATTTTCTATTTAATTTCATTATTAGTTTCATATAGATACTATCTATTCGACATTTCTGATTTAGATTATTATTAAGGTTTGCATGTTCTGACCTTTTGGGACCACAAAATTTATCTCGCCAGTGGTTCACGACTGCGCGATTTTTACGAGAGGAGAGGTAATGTGTAGCTTTAGAAGTGGAGCGCGCCTCACACTTCACAAGCTCTGACAGAGAGACTTTCTTGAAGAAGAAAATCTCTTTGACTTCCGATGACCCACTTCGTTCATAACACATTATTCCAGTCCGTGGCTTCGCATGAGATGGACAAATTTCGGTTCGAGTAGATTTTATCTGACCCGCGGCTACTTTTAAATCAACCAAGACGCCGACAACCCGTTGATTATATGAATGGAAGGACACGTGTCGTTCTTAATAATGTCCTGTTTAATCCTGATTATTTTGTCTTCGGAAGTCTTTTTTGTTTAACTGACCTTGGAACACGCGGGAGTCAGATCAAAATCATAAACAGAGAGTCTTTGATCAAATTATTTTATTCTGTTTTTTCGCCTTTATTTATGTTTCTTGCTTTAAAGCTGTCTTATCTTTGGTTCCTCGTCACTTTCAACCTTTTATTCGCATATTTCGCCAGGTCTGTCAGTGTCACAAACCACTCTTATTGTTCTTAAAACTTAAAAACTGCGCTTGAAAATAGTGTATTATAATTTGTGATACAGGCTGTCTGCAGCATTCAGGGCTGATATCCTTTGAGTTTCAGGTATTTTCAGTGTTTCGAAATTATTAGTGTAACCTAGATTCTAGGGCCTTTTAGGTGTTCCAGGAACATGTACTAACAATACGTTATACAAAGGATGAGTCACAATTAGGCCCCGAGTTAAATAAATTATAACTCTGATAAGAACAACGCTGTGGATATGATACGAAGTACATCATATTGGTGCAAACTTCAAGTTTGTTCTTACGATATACTCTTTTTTTTACGTAAATGCTCAGTATCCGCAGCTTCGTTAATTTCAGGGTTATAGTTTTTTTTAAATCGGGACATAATTTTGACTCACTCTATATTATAAAATCTGGATAAATTGAGATTTTTTTATTTCAACGAATTGCTTTGTTTTGTTGGGACTTGAATGAG